ATGGTCACAATGGCTGGAACAGAGTCCATCTAAAACCATGAGTTTTTTCCAGGTCTCCTGTGTTGGGACAGGGGCCCAAAGACTCGGGCCATCCTCTGCTGCTTTCCCAGGTCATAAGCAGGAAACTGGATCAAAAGTTGAGCAGCCGAGACATGAAGCAGCACCCATATGGGATTCAGGCACAACAGAGGCTTAAGCTGCAACACCATGTTGCAAACCCCCAAATACATGTTTCCTGATGTAAGTATGGTCACTCCTGCTTTGAGTCAGCGTTGTACATTTTATGGGTTTAGACAAATGTATCACGAAATGGATCTATCAGGCTATCACACACAGTATTTTTGCTGCCCAGAAGTCTGTTTTCCATCTATTCAGCCTTCCCTCCACCCTAACTCCTAAACCCTCTCACCCACTGATCCTTCTATGTCCAGTTCAGCTTTTTTCAGAACGCCATGTGGTTGGAATCACACAGTACGCAGCATTTTGTCACTGGCTTCCTATACTTAGTAATATGCATTTAAGTTTCCCCCATGTCTCCTCATGGTGAGAAAACTCATACCTTAACATTGAATAATATTCCTTTTTGTTGTTGTTGTTAATAACACTGAATAATATTCCATTGAGTGAATATATGCTGATGTATCCATTCACCTACTGAAAGACATCTTGGCTGCTTCAGTTCTAGAAAATATTAAGGCTGCTATAATACCGATGTACTGGTTTCCATTGAAACCAGTGTGCATCAGTGGCTGCTGGACTGTAGGCAGAATGTTTTTTTTGGTAACTAACTGCCAAACTATTTTCCAGAGTGGCTGCATGGTATTGTGTTCCCACCTGTTGGGCGTGGCACTGTGATGCAGGCTAAGCCTCTGCTTGTGATGCCAGCATCCCCTGTGAGCCTCAGTTCAAGTCCCTGTTGCTTTACTTCTGACGCGGCTCCCGGCTCCTGGCTCTGGCCTGTCTGGCCCAGCTGTTGAGGTCATTTGGGGAGTGAACCAACGGATGGAGATGTCTCATTCTCTGTCTCTCCCTCTCTCTCTTCATAACTCTGCCTTTTGAATAAGTAAAATAATAATAATACAGTACACTGACACACTTTTAAATGATTCATGTCAGAAACAGTATCAACCGTGAGCACCTCGCCAAGCTCCCAGAGCTTAAACTCACCATCCCACTCTCCAAATGACCAGGTTCCCTGACCTTAATGCTGAGACTCATCCATCAGAGTTCACGGGCATTCGTCCCCTTGGAGGCTTGGGTACCAGCGTGCTGTGACTCGGTAAACGCCGGTCTCTCTCCCGTTTGAGGCAGTGTGGCATCTGCCCTGTGGCCTGACTTCTTGTATGTAGCCGAGAAGAGCTGCTGACTTTTCAGTTTGTTCAGCTTTCATCTGTTAGGACAGAGTGATGTCATCCACGCTCCTTATGTACAACCCAGAAACCAGAACTCTTTCTTAATCTGTTCATCCACACTGTGGCTTTGTGAATTTTATTTACATTTAAAAATAATTACCGATGGGGAACAAGTTATCTGTGGATCTGGTAGGCATTCTGTCCCTCTTGCCTTTCTGCTTTCTTTCATGTTTGTTATTTTTGTATATTGATGTGCTTTCATTGTTTTCTCATTTTCTTCTGCATACCTTCTCTAGGTACTTTTGATAGTATTTTCTCTGCAGCTGCCATGGAGCCTACAAAACCACTTCTGTAAAAAAATTTATTTCAGGACCGGTACTGTTGTGTAGTGGGCTAAGTTGCTGCCTGCCACCCTGGCATCCCACATGGGCACCAGTTTCCATCCTGGCCACTCCACTTCCAATCCAGGCCGCTGCTGAGGCCTCTGGGAAAGCAGAAGATTGCTAAGTACTCTTCGCCCACGAGGAGATGCAGATGAAGCTCCTGGCTACTGGCTGCGGTATGGTCCAGCATGGCCATGTAGGGAGTGAGCCAGCAGATGCGAGATCTCTCTCTCTTCCTCCTTCTTCTTTCCTCTCCGTGTCACTTTCAAATAGAATCTAACATAATTAAGTAATTTGCATGCAAGAATGTGGATACCCTTACCTGTCTGCACATTTGCCTTTACCAGGGAGAATGCCCTGTACCACGTGTGTTAACATCCTTGTTCTAGCCTGATGGGTAACTCTGGCAGTTTTTCATAAGGCAGATCTAGTAATGCTGAACTCCTCCAACTTTTAATAAACTCAAAGCCTTTATTTCTTTCATTTTTGAAAGACAGTTTCATATCCTGATCAGACAGCTTTCTCTTTCTTTCAGCCCTTCAAATTTATCAACACACTGTCTTCTGGCTTATGATTTCTGCTGACAAACTCTCTGACGGTTTTATGGTATGTGTGATGGCTGACTTTTTTTAAAAAAAGATGTATTTATTTTTATTACAAAGTCAGATATACAGAGAGGAAGAGAGACAGAAAGGAAGATCTTCCGTCCAATGATTCACTCCTCAAGTGAGCGCAACGGCCGATGCTATGCCAATCTCAAGCCGGGAACCAGGAACTTCCTCCAGGTCTCCTACACAAGTGCAGGGTCCCAAGGCTTTGGGGCCGTCATCGACTGCTTTCCCAGGCCACAAGCAGGGAGCTGGATGGGAAGTGGAGCTGCTGGGATTAGAACCAGTGCCCATATGGGATCCCGGTGCGTTCAAGGAGAGGACTTTAGCTGCCAGGCCATGCCGCCGGGAGCAGGTGATGGCTGACTTTTCCCTGTCTGCTTTGAAGATTCACTCTTTAGATTTGACTGCCAGCAGCTCGATTGTAATGCTAGTTAGTGAGGATACTGTTTCATCTTAATTGTCACTCTGAGCTTTTCAGATTTGGATATTCATTTCCTTCATCAAATATGGGGCGCTCTCAGCCCCTCTCCCTTGTCTCCGTTCCGACCCCCCACAGTGCATACATTGCTCCATTGGATTTGGTGTCCAGAAATCCCTGAGGACGTCTTCACTCTTCATACTTTTTTTTTCTGTTCTTCTAGTTTGATAATTTTTTTTTAATTTTTAAAAAAGATTTATTTATTTTTTGGAAAGTCAGATATGCAGAGAGGAGGAGAGACAGAGAGGAAGGTCTTCCGTCCGATGATTCACTCTGCAAGTGAGCGCAACGGCTAATGCTATGCCGATCCGAAGCCAGGATCCAGGAACTTCATCCGGGTATCCCACATGGGTGCAGGGTCCCAAGGCTTTCGGCTGTCCTCGACTGCTTTCCCAGGCCACAAGCAGGGAGCTGGATGGGACGTGGAGCTGCCAGGATTAGAACCAGTGCCCATATGGGATCCCGGCGTGTTCAAGGTGAAGACTTTAGCCACTAGGCCATGCCGCCGGGCCCTAGTTTGATAATTTTTAAATCATTTCTCTTTTTCTCTTTGAGTTTATGGCTTAACTTGGTCAAATTTGTTGAAATCCACTAGCAAAATTTTCACTTCAATTATCGCATTCTTCAATTTTATGTTCAATAGCTTCTGTTGATGTTCTTTACTCGTGCATCCCACGTTTGTGGCTTAATATGCTGACCTCATTAAGGAGAGACTTTTAATAATCAGCCCAGTCAAATTCTAAGGGTTCAAACCCTTTCTTGCTGGGCACGTGACTTGCAGCATTAGCTTGTACTTGCCCAGGAAGTAGGCATCCAAGTTTCTTTTTCAGGCATTCATGATCTCTTGCTCCCTCTGGTGTCTGCCTGCAGGACTGCAGGTCCCCTGGTCCCCTAGGGCTCAATGGTCCCTAGCCATTCAAGTTAGGCTCCTCAGCATCTCACATCCTTTTCTTCCTGCTCCCTCCACAGGAACAAACTGCCAGTTGGGAATCTTCTCCCAGTGCTGCCCACTTCCAGGGCACCGCAAGCCCTAGCTTTTGCTGCCAGTGTCTCCCAGGCATCCTAACTACCCCAATTCCAGCTCCTCAGACAGCCTTTGAAAAGACAGAATGTTATACACGTCCTATCCCTCTTCGCAGTGCAGAACTGTGGCCTCAGCCAGAGAGGGATGGGTTAGCTTGGAGGAGAGGCAGTTGTGTGTGAAGTGAAGCAATTCTTCTTACCTGTTTCACTGTAGCCTTTCTTGCATGTATGCCTGGGGTACTTAAACTCCCAAAATGCTCCCAGGGGCATGTGATGTTACTAGGGTCCTGTCTCAGGGGCAAGCAGGTGAGGGTTCTTATTCTGCCATCGTGCTGACATCACTGCCTCATCTTTTAAATGTGATATTTCATATCCTCTAAGATATCGATTTCAGGAAACTTCAGGGTTGTTGAGATGAAGAACAGAAACCTGCAGCAATGGTAAGACATCACACACAGCAAGATGCACCACACTATTGCTATGGTAATCCAAGAAGGGGAGGGGGGAAGCAGCCAGAGATGGGAGAGGAAACCAATGATCAGCCAAGAGGTGACTCCCTCTAGAGTCCCCCAACCTCTACAAGGGACTAGAAAATGCCAAAATACTTGGTGTGATGAAATTACTTAAAGAATCTGGTAAAAGAGCAGCAAGTTCGGTAGCAAGGGTACTGGTGACAAAACAGAGACTCATACAGATCCTAGGAACGTCAGACAAATGAGTATCATCAGCTTGTAAGCCCCAGGGGGCCACAGCACTGTCCAGAGGGTTTGGACTTTGCAACTCTGTGGAACTGGCAAGGTTCTGAGGCCACCCTGCAGAGCTCTCTGTGGACTAAGAGGATCCCCGCTGGGGCCTGGTTTACATAAACAGCACCGTCCCCAATACCTGGCTGCATTCGTTAATCTTCCATGCTGCCTCAACAGCAAGCATGAACACATCATCCGCCAACTTGAAGACCTTACCATCCACAGCCCCAAACTTCCTGTCACAACTTTGTTTCTTGCACAATCCAGGTCCTACCTTGCTAGCCTCCTCTCCTCCCACAGGACACTATAACCGAATCCAATATTTCCTTGCTTCCTGAAAATTCTTCCTCATTTATGCAAAATGTCCTACTTTTCTTCACTCACTAAGCATTTACTCATTCTTCCAGACAAAATTCAATACTCATCCCACCCCAACATCTCAAATAAGTGAACTAGCCAGGAGACAAAAGCATGGACTAATTCAGAAACCCTAGTCTAGGAAGTCTAGGAACAGGGTTGGGAAAGAACAGAGGAGATTGCTCACGGGTTCCTGTCCCAAAGGCCAGAGCAGGTGCCTGGAACACTGGCTTTCAGCCTGACAGCAATTCAAGGGCTACAAGGATCTTCACACCAAGTTTGACAGTGGATATAATGGGATCAGACACATCTTAATGTAAATCTTGGCTATGCCGACAGGTCATGTCATTTACCCTGCTTTTTTACTCTTGAAAACGGGAACATCTTGAAGCATAGGAATAACACAACTGCCAACAGCTGGCCCTTAATAGGCATTCCATAAATGGTGATTTTTACATTTAGCTGTGTGCCAGTTTACAGGTGCAACTTCAGGGGGATGCCTACCTAAAACACTGGGTTCTCAAGGAGCAAGAACATATGTGAGAAGCACAAAGTGCCCTACAGAAGAATCCAACCCTAGAGAATCATTTGCAAAGACTTCTTTCGTAGTCCGAGAAAACAGAGGTTTTGGATTTGGGCACAGCAGGTTCAGTTCCTGGCTGCGCCTGTCGCCTCCTTCCACCAGCCTGGTTCCCTGTTAGGTCACAGGCATACAGGATTGTGGTGAGAATTCATTAAGATGATGAAATGTAAAGCTCACATAAAGGCATGTCCCTTCCCCAGGCAAGAGGCAGGATCCCATCTGACATGTCTGACAGTGACTGGGGCAGCTTCAAGCCTGGTGTCTGACTCACACTCGGCCGACTATCTACAAATGAAGCTCAGGGCTCCAGTCTGATGACAGAGGTAGAGATGGGTCTTAAGTATTTGGTAAAAGAAAAATGAGTGAGCACTGAACTTCCATGTAGAACATTCTACCCCACCATGCACAGGGGACAGGAAGCAGGCCTGATGTGTGATGGCTCCCAGCTCCAGACCAGACTCTCAAGTATCTCCTCCTTCCGAAGCCGCCCGGAGAATGAAATGACAAAAGCACCAGCTGGGAGTCAGGGCAGCACAGGTGTGAACCCTGGCTCCACCACACACCTGCTGGAAGATGCCACAAGCAACTCTGTCTTCTTATGAGAACAGAGGACACCAGATAGGTAAAGGAGAGATGCAGAATCAATGTGTAGAATCAAGAGCACATGGCGTATACTTGATCAATGCTGGTTCCTTTCTTTGTCCCCTTCTTCTCAGAGGCGCCAGTTTCTTGGCTTTCAAAGCAGTCATCCAGCTGAGACTTCAACTCCCTTCCAGAACGAAGGCGCTGGAACCATCTCCCCAGCTACCCACTTCCCCAAAATAAGTACACGGGTCCTCTTCATTGAAAGATTTTACTACTAATCACTCTGAGGACACAGATGCAGGTTGGGGAAGGATAACGGGTAACACACATGGGGATATGAAGGCAGTATGTGGCGGCTCCTGGGCCACAGCTCCCTGAGGGCTTCCCTCGCATGCCTAAGGCAGGCCCGCAAACCTTTCCTCCTGACCAAGGAGATCCCTTCCCCTGGGAAGGCTGCTCCTCCCAGCTCACAACTCTGGAAGCAACACTGGGGACCACAGGCGGGAGCTAGCAGGCCACTATGGTGCACGTTAGACAGTTCATAGACAAGTGACCCCCGACTCACAGGTCTGTCCTGGGCGGCAGGGGAACTACTGCCCTAACAACATGAGCATGCTCCGAGACTGCCCTATTTCTTGCCCACTTGCAGAGTGGAAACCAACACTGGGACCCCTGACTCTACAGAGCAAGAAACTACCTGTAAAAGGGCAAGGGTTTCGATTTCAGAGCCCCCTCTGAATGCCTTCCTGGAGACCCTGGTTTCAGAGAGAGGACACCATCCACCAAGGTAGGATCAAGGGCTCGAGGTCAAGTGGCAGCAGCACATCCTAAAGACCTACTTCCTCCACTAGGCTGGGGTTTCTCTGTTTCTTTCAGCTGGAATCCTTCCCAGCCTGCTCGTCCCCATGTGTCCTCTGGTGACGGATGAGGTTTGAGCTTCGGGAGAAGTGTTTGCCGCACAGGGTGCACCGGTAGGGCTTCTCCCCTCGGTGGGTCCTCTGGTGTGCCCCAAAGTTGGAGATGTCACTGAAGGTCCGCCCACACTCGGTACACTCATAAGGCCTCTCGCCCGTGTGTGTGCGATGGTGCACGCCAAAGCTGGAGCTGTTGCTGAAGCTCTTGCCACACTCGCAGCAGATGTAGGGCGCAGGCTCCAGGTGGGTCCGTTGGTGCACGGCCAGTGTGGCGCTCTGGCTGAAGCTCTTGCCACACATGTCACAGCGGTAGGGCCGCTTGCCCAGGTGGTCCTGCTGGTGTGTGGTGAGGTCTGAACGCCGTCGAAAGCTCTCCTGACACTTGGAGCATTGGTAGTGCTTCTCTTCCAGGTGTATCCGCTCATGCCGGATGCGGTTGGAGCTCCTGGAGAAGCTCTTGCCGCATTCAGAACACTTGTAAGGCTTCTCGCCGGTGTGGATCCGCAGGTGCATCCTTAGGTTGGAGGTGTTGTTGAAGGTTTTGCCACACTGGGTGCAGATAAACGGCTTCTCGTTGACCTCGGGCCTTGGATGAGCAATGCCCCCTGGCTCCCCAGCTGGGGCAGGAGCTTTCTGCCACTGCATTTGGGGATGGGTTCCTTGTGGCCCCTCTGACAGGCTCTCCTCCCCAGGTGGGATCCGAGACCCCTCTGAGTCATCCACTTGCCAAGGCTTCCCCCCTTCCCCTTCATCAGGTAGCGGTGCTTCCAGACTGTGCTCCTTCTCACTGCCCATCTCTGAACCCTGAGAATGAACACAAATGGCCAACACCTTTATTCCTGGGGTCAGGCCAGACCACGGGGAAGCTCCTGCTCTAGCTGAAGGAGTGGACCCTTCCCCTGGGAACCACCCATCAGGAATTGCCTCAATTAACTGGAGTAACTGGCTTGAATGTCCTCTACTTGGTAACTTCCAAGTGATGAATTTTCACAGATATTGCAAGCTACCCAACAGAGCCAAAAAAAAAAAAAAAAGGTACTAGCTTGGTCTAGCACCAAATAACACCTGCGGGATGTGAGTGATGTCACTTCTTGACACCACTAAATATACTAAGTATACTCTCATTTGTGTCTGAATACAGGAGCTTCCATTTGAGCACAAATTCAATTGTTGGGCCCAACTGTAAGGTAACTAAAAGGCCTTTGAATTTTAATCTTGCTTTAGAAAATGTTCCTTAATGGCATCCACATGTTAGCCTGCAGAAGCGCTCATCCTTGAGGCTCTTGGGATACACAAAGTCCAGCTGTGAGTCTTCTGCAGACCCACCACAGCTGGCAACTAAAGTGTTAACACCTGGCCCTTCCAAGACTACTGTAGGACCTGGGACTGATGGATCAGTGCCCACTCCCACCACACTCTCAAACACCACACAAAGCCAGCCCCCACACACATATACCACAGCCACACACTAGCCATACGCATACCACAAATACAGTCAGCCACACTTTCATGCAACACACGGTCATAAACACCACACACAGCCACATACAGGTCTCCCTGCCACTCTTATAATATAGCATCCACAGTCCTCCCATGCATATAACCACATACAACACAAGGCTACACACACACACACAGTCACATACATAGCTATACAAGTCCACACCACACACTGCCCATTTATTACACAGCACTACGCACAAAGACACACAAAGACACACACAGACACAAACCACACTGCCTCTTTCCCACCACCTACACACAGCTAGACACACACACTGCCCAGAGAGGCCCTGCTTTTGCAGACTTCTTTGGGTCCCCAGAGCCAAGGGCAGGAAATGAGGAAAGAAAAAAAATGGTTGTGATGGGAGAGCTGGCTTTTCCTCTAGGTCTAGACAAAACCATGCCACTTCAAAAGGCAGAGCAGGCTGCTGTGCCAGTGAGATGCCATCCTGGGTGACACAAACAAGGGACAAGGGAGAGAAGCATGGGCTCTGCCCAGTGACCACGGAAGGAGAAAGAGTTCTAATTCCTTCAGTCCAGCAAGGATCACTTAGGGCTGGATCCCAATATTGACTCCCACTCCCTTTGTGACGGTCTGCAGACCAGGCCCCTCTGGGCTGTAGCTCTCTCATCACATTTTGTATTAGAAAAAACACTCAAGAGAGTGGGACATGCAAAGTGCTGGTCACTCAGCAAACAGCAGCTGTAATAACTGCCCTAGCCCCGTGAAGAACAGTGGAATGAAAGAGAGGTCCTTAAGGGCCTCTAAATTATATTGTTAGGAAAGCCAAAAAAAAAAAAAAAAAGCTCTATGTTTAAGAGTAGTATACAATTATATGGAATCTACCACGTAAAATGTGGTAGAACCCCAACTCTTGTAAGGAGCAGAAGTCAACAAACTCACGCCCCTGAGGACCCAGGAATAACTATTTGGGGCTACAGGACCTCCACTGTGCCCACTCAGCTATGCCATTGTACCATGAAAGCAACGAAGGATGAGACATAAAAGAATGAGTGTGCCTGTGTTCTAATAAAACTTTATTCACTTCATTTAACAACAGGAGGTCTGGGACTAGCCCTGGACGCTGCAGCCACCATGTTGTAAGTGAACCAGCAGATGGAAAGTCGCTCTCCATGCTGGCCCCAGTAAATAAATCTTCATTAAAAATAAAAGGGGAGTCATGGTGCAGCAGGCTATGCTTGTGGTGCTGGCATACACAAACGCCAGTTCGAATCCCAGCTGCTTCACTTTTGATCCAGCTTTCTCCCAGTGAACCTGGGGAAGCAGTAGAGGATCTCTGTCTCACCCTCTCTCTGTAACTCTGCTTTTCAAATAAACAAATCAACCTGTGGGGGTGCGGAATGAGGCTTCCTTGATTTTAAAAAAGATTTAAGAGTTACAACCCATCCCCACCATTCTCAGGCTCCTGCCCACAGCACGTCTCCCCTTTGGACATTCCCTGCCTACTGTTTACCATCTGCTGTCCCCTGCTAAAACCTAAGGTCTTTGTCTTATTTCTCAATGTGACCCAAACTCCTGGAACAGTGGAAAACCTACATAGCAGATTCTTGGTAAATATTTGCTGAATGAGGCGAGTAAACTAACACCAGTGCCGACTCCAGACCCCTGAGTACATCCCCACTTCATCTACAGCCATCTCCTGATGCCTGCCCACCTTCTCCTTCTGGCTCCCATGGAATCTTGTGTTTGCTTGCCAATGTACATGTCTGCTTCCACCAGCAGCTTCTAAGCCACTTGGGGACAAGGATTGGGACCTGCCGTGATCTCCCTTCTGAGCCACACGCTGGATGCTCAAGTTACTTGAGTGAATGCGGGAATATATATGGCTTTGACTCACTCCTGCCCCCTCCCAGCACCACCTAGGGTTTCAGTATCTTCTATGCACAATGGGCTAGGCTGGCTCCACTCACCTCCAAAACTACTATTCTGAGGAGCTATAATTTGCCAAGGTCTGGTCCCACCCAGGGATGAACGCTGGGTCGATGTAAGGGCAAAAAGATTGAGGATTATACTGAGCACACTCAAACAGCTAATGATAGAGCACAGTGAAGTGCACCAGAACCCCAGAAATTGCCACCCCGTGCAGAGGGCGAGGTTCCTGGGGATAGAGGAAGGTCCCATGCCTTGGCCACTACTGCATCTGTACTTCACTGCCTGCCACTGCCCTGGCACATCATACAGGAACCCAACAATAAGCTACATTCTAAAAGCTCAGACCGAGTGCTAAAACCTGACTCTGCACTGCCTGTGGACCACCTCTCTCATCATTTTTATGATTATCATCCTTAGTTTATAGACAAGGCAATTGAGGTTCCGTGAAATCAAATAACCTGTCAAAGGACACGTAGGAAGTGGCAGAATCAGGGTCCTAGGCCACCGCTGCACAGCCAGGGCATGGGGGCACTGTGCCAGCATGGGAAGGCAGACAGGAAGTGGCAGAATCAGGGGCCTAGGCCACCGCTGCACAGCCAGGGCATGGGGGCACTGTGCCAGCATGGGAAGGCAGACAGGAGGTGAGCAGAGCCAGGGAGACAGGAGAAAGGAAAGCAGTGCTGGGATTCAGATGGCAGGCACATTTTCCTGGCAACCCCATGGATGAGGTGGGAACTGAACAAGACTTGCAGGCTGGATAAGCAAGACCAAGACTTGAACCAGGAGCTCACTTGCTCACTACCTATCCATAGAGATGTTCCTGCAGTTAGAAAGAGAAATAGACCTGTCGAGCTTGTCTTTCTAGACATTCCTGGCAAGGGTGGAAGGGATGGAGGCAGTACAGACTGAGCCTAAGCAGTACAAGAGCAAGCCAAGGGGCTGGGGCTGGTGACCATCTATTAGACAAAGGCTGAGATCCTGGGTCAGAGGGAAGGGGCCAACCCAGAAAGTGGTCTAAAGGGCCAAAGCTGGGGGTTCTCCAGAGCCAAGGGAGCCTGTGAAGACCCAGAGCAAGGTGCTAAAGAACAGGGACGGTGGGTGGTGCGTGGCTAGGCAACCGGAACTGGGAGGCTAGGTAACAGCTCAGAGAGGACCAGGGGAGGATGGCCGAGATGGCCAGGGTAGAGGCGCAGTAGGTCGGAGACCGCAGGCCCAGGGGCCTGCTGGTGTGATCCCAGACGGGGTCGAAGTGCAAGTGTGCAGCAGTGTGGAGGACAGGCGCTGCTGAGTTCGAAGAAGTCCATGGGCTTGGGACTGGAGGGAGGGAAGGCGGCCGAGAGATTGACCTCAGCAGCTCGGGGCTGCAGTACGCCAAGGCCAACAGAAGAAGGGTCCAGGGTAGGGGGTGGAGATGGCAGTGTGGCCGCAGAGACCGGGACACAGGCATGGGGGAGGGGGAGATGGGTCGGAGTGGAGGGGCTACGGGGTCCCTCTGCTTCGCACGGCATCCGGGAAGCCTAGCAGGAACCTCCAACTTGTGAGAGGGAAGGGGCCGTGCCGAGTTCCCTGCGAAGCCGCGACCGCCTTCCCGCCCCGGGACCTGAGACCCAAATCGGACCCACCTCGCTCCCGCCGCTCGGTCCCGGACTGCGCCGCCTCCGTGTGCCAGGGCAAGAGCCGGAGACGGAACCCGAAAAGGATCCGCCTTACTTCTCCAGGACTGGGTCCTGCCGCCGATTTTTCCCTTTCATTGGCTAAAATAGCTGGGACCATGGGGAGACTACCAATAAGCTTTGGCCTCTGGAGTGGCATGCTGGGAGTTGTAGGCTTGAGTAAGACAAGACGTTTAGAACAGAGCCCAGGGTTTGATTTTAGCGTTGCTTACCGCCCAACTCGGACTTCTAAGCTTAAGATGCAGGGCAGCTGTTGTGAGCAATAGCCTTACCCGAGGCCACCTGTCTGCGAAAGGATGGACTTAGAAACGTGAAGGAAGCTGGTGAGGCGTGTATTGACATCTGGTCCGGAGAACTAGCAGGTAGAAGCTGGCCCCGCCCTCAGAAATTCAGTTTCTTTTAGCCCTACTAGCCCGGGTCCCTAACCCCTCTTTCCTGGTTAGTTGAACAACTTGGGGACCACAATCTAAACTCCACAGGATGCTTGAAGCAGAGTGGGGTAAGGGGATTGCTGGCAGGTGTGCGGACAGGTACACTGCAACAAGGCTTACACTGTGGGCAGGAGCAGAGATGCCGGAGCACTTGGTAAGGAGCATTCAGTGCCTATAGATTACAGAAGGCTGAAGGTTACAAAGGTAACACAAGGTGCAGTTTGCAGTGCAAACCTAGCAACTGACCTACTTCAGGTTTTGGCAACTCTGTATCCTGTGTGCCACTAGGCCTGGTATCATGGCCTCACCGAGGCTAAATCTTTTATGAAATATGCCATGGGGGGTCAGCGTGGTGGGATATAGGCTAATCCTCACCCTGGGGCACAAGCATGCCATACAGGTGCCTGTTCATGTCCTGGCTGCTACATCCGACCTGGCTCCCTGCTAGAGCCTTGGGCCCCTGCACTCATGTGAG